AGCACCACGAATCTGATCAGCTTTCAGCTGCCGATCGATTGCAGTGCGAAAGTGGAGGATGTGGCATCGGCATCGGCAGCGGCGGCGGCATCGAAAGAGACTCGCAATGAGTTCTACATTGTCGGCGATGGGTATCACAAGACGGACTATTGCCATTATCGTACGCCGAATGGAAATTTCCACAAGCTGCCAACCGACTCGTTCCACAAAATGTCCGAGGGCTGCTTCGTGCGCATGGCCGACGGCGTGTTCCGGCGCCTCGAGCTGCCAACCAAAGCGCAGCAGGTGTCGTGTCGTGCCTCCAAGCTGGGGGATATTTCTGGTGCGGACAGCAACGAAAATGGCCTGGGCGCAACCAGTGTCAAGCGACAGCTGTTGAATTTCCTCAAGAGGTCAAAGAGTCACACGCCCGCAACAATTGCCAAGCTGCAGAAGGACAAGGACGACGCGCGCCTCGAACGCAAGCAACGCCTCTCGAACGCCATGCGACAAAAGGCGCTGCAGCTGAAAACGACGTCGGCGACAGGTGCCAAATTGAATACGCCCAACAACAAAATTGTTGTCACCATGATTGAGAACGGAGGACTTCCAATCGTGGCCACCAGCAAAGCCGACCGACCCAAGTGCAAGGACAGCGCCTCCGTTGCCGCGGAAAAGGCGCGTACCTCAAGGGTATGTACTGAACAGGCTGTGTCGGGGGGATATATCTGACAGACAGTAGAAAGTATTCCAAAAAAAAAAATATGTATGCACATATCAATAAACATTGGTTTAAAAAAACAATTAAGAGGTTCTAGTCGGGAGCTCCCGACTCCCCGAACCCTCTTCTTCCAACAGGTATAAAATGAATGATACTTGATATATAATATTCTATTCTAAAAGCTACATGTCAAGTTTGGTGACTCCAGCTCATATTATTTGCCGAAACAGGATTTCGATTTTTATCGATTACTTGGAAACGGGGCAAGTTATCGAATATCGGAAACAACCTGCGCGGGCACTAGGAGGAGCTATAGCCAAAATTTCAGGTCTCTAGCTCTTATAGGTTCTAAGATCATGGCTTAATCGACTCGGCTGTTGATGCTGATCAAGAATAAATATACTTTATGGGGTCGGAGATGCTTCCTTCTGTCTGTTACATACATTTGCACAAATACATTATACCCTTTTTACCCATTTTCAGTGGCTTCAGGGTATAAAAAAAATAAGTTTAATGCTTTTGTGGAGAAAGCTGACAACCCCATAAAGTTTATAATCTTGATCGGAGATCTAGATCAATTTTAAACATATGTGGTATATTCTTGTTATTAATCGCAGAACAAAGGTATCCATTCTTTTTCGTTATCTACCCCTATTCCCATGATATCGATAAATATGGAATAGGAATTTCAACAGGAATATTTAAGCATATATCGCAGCCTTAGACATTATATTTTGGTATATAGGTTCTCGCAGCAAGGAAAGCGATCCATCAAGATGAATCCATGATTCAGAAATACAAAATTATTGAAATTGCTTCGATTTTGTCTGCACGAAATCAGAACAAGTTTATATTTCGGTTTATGGGTTAAAATAAACTTACAATGATCATTTATTTAATAATGACTAAAAACTTTGCTAACTTGTTTTTAAGTCATTGCAAACAATATTTGACATTCTGAATTAACTGTGTGTTTATCTTAATAATATATTGATTAATATAGTTTATACGTTTCTGTTTCTGTTTCTATTGGCGAGATGGAGGATGGATTAAATGGAAGTTTGAGCTCAAAATAGATAATGTTTGGAATCATTTTTATAAGTAGGAATCTCCGGCGCCATAAGCTATATATATATATATATATATATATATTCTTGGCCTGCATCAACAGCCGATTCGATCCATCCCATGTCTGTCCTTCAGTCCATGTCAATTGTCTATGAATGTATCGAAGGATGCTAGATTAATTGTATCGGCAGTTCGGAGCAAGGATCTGTGCATCTCCTGGTCAAGCTTTCCCAACTGGAGAACTCACACTGGTTACATTAGTTTAACGGTAAAAATTCTCGGTTTTGAGAGTTGACATTCCGAATTTGGCAACCTTATTTAATGATTATCATATATATATCCTCTATCTCTATATGACAGATATATATATAGATATATATGTTTTTGATATAATAATTGCATTTTAACTTTGTGAATATTTAATATTATTTATTGATCACAAATTGGGTGCTGGGATTTTTTGGCCCGTAATTTCATAAGGTTTATGGAATTTGCCTCTTGGTCCGCGAATTTATCCTCAAGATAAAGCGTTCGCTTTGTCAGCTGTGTAGTTTTTTACCAATTGTTCGCTTAATCTTCTCTATGCCTCTTGCTGAATGTGGGCGGGTAAAGATATATAATTACAACTAGGATAAATTCAACTGCGATAACCATTATATTTTCTTATATATCCCTTATATATAAGTCATCTTCAAGCATCTTAAGAGATACATAATTCGTATAGCAACCGAATATTATCAGCATCTGACAACATCACATCATGTTACAGCTAAAGGAACAATGGATAACTGCGTTTTTTTCGCTCAGTGTAGTACTCGTATATCTCATATGTCTTATATGTCTGCCAGGTTATTTAATCTTCGATCTTATATGTTTGTTTCTGTGTTCCTCTGTCAAATGCTTTTCCATTTCTATGTTGTTCTTATTAAGTTTGTAAATGTCCCAACATGTGAAAAATGTGCCGCCTCATAAACAATTTTCACACACAATCCAAAGTTGTTGAGTTCTGTCATCGGTTTTGGGCATTGTAAAACCACTTAAGACTTAACCTTTTGTTTTTGATTTAATAACAGTGCTCTTCTTTTGATTATTATTTCTATTTAATTTCAGATAATCTGTGTTCATGCAATTACCTTATTCCAAACCCAAAACGATTGCTCTTGATATCCAGCAATATATACGCCAATTTATATTTTTTATTTTCTTCATACAGAAATAGGGATTCATTAATGCATTGCAAATTCGTTGATGATATCTAAAAGATAAGACTCGATAACGAAGAACAATCTATCTAGAGATGATATCGTAGACATCGTGCTTATACTATAATAACCTCCATTTGACAGCTAGTCTTATCTGAATGCAAACGCTTTGGAATGGGTTATCTGCCTGCCAGTTGCCAGATAATCATTCTCATAACCTATTAGTTGCTCCTAATATTCTTTTTTCACTCGTTCGTCTTGCCTTCATTTATTTTAATTTGAATAGAAATATGTCTAGGTGTCTTATGGATAATTGCCCAAACTTTTGTTCGTAATGTTTTTTTAGATTTGTTGCTTTAGATTCCAAAATAAAAAGTAGTTTTTAATAGAATACAGATTTTTTTAAGCGCGTAGAAAATTCACTCTAGCCATAAAAGTAATTTTTTTAATATTTACTTAATATGTTCTTTTGTCTTAGAAGAAAAAGTATCCCAAATAGGAGAATACATTTAACACCTAATAGAACTTTCTAATATATATAGATAGATAGATATATCCATAGATATATATAGATAATATATTTAAAAGGGCTTTCGTGTAATGGTCTCTAAAAGAATCCCTGCGCCCGTCTCCAATCAGGTCGAATAGCTTTACGAATAGAGGTTGAAGAAAGTTATAATGTTTGTAGCATCAGCTCGACACTGGATTTAGGGTATCTCCTAGTCGGGCAGTCCCGACTATAGCAATCTTACTGAAAATGAGCTTATAGCTCTTTAAGGATTTCCCAACTGTTGTGAAAAGTTCAGATTTCTAGACTGCGACTTAAATATTAGTATACAGAAATATATAAACAATCTTTACTCGGCGATATCTCGATCGAGAACATATAAATATTTTGCAACAAAGTTGTGCCTACTGCAAGAGTATAAAAAGAAGGAAATTATTTATTTATATTTTACATATAAACATGCATATTAATGTTTACATATGTATTTATTTCTGTTGTGCTTAATGAATGAAGCTTTAGTTTTATTCATTTTTTTTTTAACCTTGATTATATTTACAAAAGGAAGTCGCATTGAAAGTTGCTTATTATTAGTTCTAAAAGTTTTGAGAATTAATTGAAATACTCTGCAGAAGCTCCAAATTTCGCACACAAACTTGTCTGACACTGTTTCTGTGTCAGGTAAGCTAACAATTCTTTCTCAGCGTTACGCTCAGGTGATATCAGTTTGCTCTTACACACACACATGCTTACGTGCGCACGTATCCACATCAGCCGCACACACATGCATACTTACATAGTCATGCACACACAAGTGCTTTAGACTAGAGTGCCCGACTTGGAGATGCCCCGCACCCAACTCCGAACATACATTTTCAATTACATTTTTGCAAATTCACATTCGTAGTAGTATTTATTATTTTTTTTAATGTTAAGGGAATAAGAAACGGTATCTCTGTTTGTTATATAATGTTCTACACGCCCAGATTGTTGTCTGTTGCGCGTATAATCTCTGAGAAATGTTAAAAACCAGGCTGGAAATCGAAAATGTTCAGGTTTTGGGAAACTTGTCAAGCAAAAAAATCCTGTTTAGCGTATTTTACACACTTAAAGTCTCCATGGACAACGTTTATATTCCTTTTAAGTGCACATGCACAATTTCATTATACACATTTTTATTGATACAGGGTATTAAAATCAGCGCACCAAATGAGCTCTTTGTCAGTAATAGACAGATACGGTAGAATTGAAAACTGGTGTGTGTGTGTGTGTATGTATTGTTTGTGGGTGTGTGTGTGTTTAAATGTATTTGTGACTAAGAGTGTGTATGTGTGCTGTGAGTGTGTGTGTGTTTATTAGTGTAGCGTGAGTGCGCGCGGAACACACTAATACCAATGAGCGCACCCCACTAAAAAGCGATATTTGCTTGCGTGTGTGTTGTGTTTGTGTATTGAGGCCGACTTTTCTGTCTCTGACTCTGCTGTTGCTTGGGTTGAGTTGTTGCTGGTATTGATACTGGAAGTGCTCGTACTCCAGTTGCTGCTGTTACTGTGGCTAAAGTGGCTGTTGGCTGTTAGCTGCTGAGCTGTCGCTGTAGCTGTCACTGCCTGTTGACTGTTGGCTGTTGGCTGGCGGCGTTTACGTCAGAGTTACAAACTGTGCTAAGAAATCTTATGAGTGTATACGCATACTTATAAACATGTAATATAAATACATGCAAGTGCAAGGCTCTAATTGCAGACCGCGTGTGATTGATAAGCTCGGCGATAAAGAAACTACATCGCAAATTTCAATTTTTCCAAATTGAAAAAATAAGCGTTGAAATGTTTGCTTTTTTTTCTTTCCATAAGTGAAAATTATTTTATTGTCTGAGAGTAGCTTATTTACTATGTTCTTGTGCTCTAGTGTGTGGATGCAGAGATGTGTCTGTGTGGAAGTTTATATGTGTGCGCGTTAAAGCTTTTTCTCTCCCCGAACTGAACTGAGTAGTGTACGCTCGCATCAACTACAAGTAGATTTAAACGAATTTAACTGTTGCGCTTAAACTATTTACATAAAAATAAAATGAAAATTCCTAATGAATCATAAATAAAGAGAGTTTGTATCCAAGACTCGAGAGCGCAACCAAACGTGACGCCGAGAGACTGAACACGAGAGCATGAGAGAGGACGTCTTAGGTGAACTTGTGCAACAATCTTCTGTGCGAGTGCGAGCGTGAGCGTAAGCCGATGAAGTCGTTAGCAAATACAAAATACCTATACAAACATAGGTACAAGCGAACTTAACAAATACGTACACAAGCGATAGCAGTTACTTTTGCACACGTGTATGTGAGCACAAGTGTAAGCGTATAGATACGCTCTCACTCTCAATCTTAGTCGTTCACTCTCTCGCTCTCTTTATCTCTCTCTCTCTCTCTCTCTCTGACTAAATCGTGCTGCGTAGAAGTGTGTTTCAGTGAGTTTCTTTCAGTGTCACCAAAGTCAGATTAGCTAGCTCTTGACTATGAGTTGGCTTTTGTTGTAAATATTACGTTCGCTTTCGCACTCGCCATATGTGTGTATATGTACACTCGTTTATGCATTGCTTACTTACATACATATATAAACAATCGTGTACGAGTGTGTGTGTGTGTGTGTGTGTGTATTCAACTTTTCGAGGTTTTAATGCGCAGCAACAGCGACTTGTTGAATTAAATATAAGTATGCTCAATGGCAAAGAGGCAACGCCAGCAAACAAACTGTCGTCCATTCAGTCTTCTACACGGCGAAAGCAAGAAGAGCTTCAACACACGTTCACACACGTTCACACACATGCACACCGATGTGTGAGGCACTTCAAATTCCATGTGCCAGCATGTCATGTGCAGACTGCTGCAATACCTGTGCGAGATCGACTCAAGAAAAGCGATTAACTAGCCCTTAACCGAAAAGCTAATAGCTAATAGAATAAATAAACACGGGGGGGCTGATCTTAAAAAGTTTCCACCGCAAAATTGTTTGTTTCTAAAATCTTTATTTATAATCGAATTTAAATGAATAGGGTTTCTAGGGTTTAAAATAGAAAATAGAAAAATGATGCCTTTCTTATCAATATTTAAGAATGTTTTTTCACTTTCTCTTGCCTGATAATAATTTCAGAATAACACTTGTTATTTTGTTATTCGTGCTTGATCTCGTTTTCTTACAAAAAATATACACATCTGTTTTGTTTTTTAACTGATAAGTTTACTCGCAAAAACTGGTCGATCGACAAAAATAAAAAGAGGAAATTTATTTTATTTATATGTATATTAATACATACGTGTGGATACACACACATACGTATGTGCGTATATACATACATAGAGAAACACACAAATACATAAACAAAATAATTTCCCTAACGAAACTTACAGTGCGCGATCGCAAAGTCTGACTAAACTAAAATAATAAAACCAAAAACCAGCTAACCAGAGGCAGTGCGAAGTACAAAACAAAACAAAACAAAACAAGAAGTGATCTTTTTAAAAAAAAAAAAACAAAAACAAATAAAAAAATACATGGATCGTGGTGTGGATCCTGAACCATCGAACAGAATGGAGACATCGGCGACGACGACGACGACGCCGCCGACGCCGGACTTAAACAGAGCGGATGCGTCCCGGAAAAGCGTTCGCCTCTATGCGGCGCGCAAGGGATTGGCGCCGGCTCCGCCCAAATTGGCGCTGGCAACGAGCAACAACAATACCAGTAGTAAAAATAAGAATAACAAAAGTGATAGCGAAAACTTGCCCGATTACAGTGCACACCTTGCCAGTTCAGCGACGACTGCAAAGGAACTCGATCTCAGCGATGCGCAGCATGTGGACTACGATGCACTCGTGGAACTGCGCAGACCGGGCGACATAGCCTTAGCCCCGCCACGTGTTGCGGTCTCGGCGATTCCTGCTTTTCAATTGCCAAACAAAAGAAGTCAAAAGGCTGCGCCGCGAGTTCAGATGTCCGCCGAGGATGATGTGGGCGTCGCTTTCGCATTGGGCTCCATTGAGCAGCACATTCTGAATGTTGAGGAGAGCTTTAAACAGCAGCAACTCAGTGAAAATCAACAGCAGCAGCAGCAGCAGCAGCAGCAACAGTCTCAGTCGTCCATGGATGTAATGAAAATGGACATAATGCGCAAACAGAGCAAGCGCTACGGCGAGACGGAAAACCTGCTGCGGCCGGGCATCAGCGACATGTCCTCGGAGAACGACTTTCAGTACCTGGGCGGACGGCGATCCCAACTGGACGACAGCAACGAGCAAATGCTAACGGAATTTCAAAGAGGCAGCGATGGACGCAATTCAATTGGCGCCTACTCGAAGAACTCGGCCGCTGCTGCCGGCGGACCCTCAGGTGCGCTGAAGGCAAAGCTGGCTCGGACTGCCTCGGACACGAAGAACACAGATTCGGTGCTGGCGATGCGCGCCACCTTGAAACAAAAGCAGCAGCATCACGATGTAAAGCAGGAGCCGGCTCATGGCAGATGGCGACCGACGACGACAGCAGCTCCTACGCCGGCAGCTAGATCCACAGCAAGCCGGGGCAACAGCAGCTCGAGCGTTACGGACGGGGGCTCCGCATCGAAGCTGACTGCCACCACAATATCGTCATCCAAGCGACGCGAAGAGAATCTACGCCAGTTTGAGGCGCTGCTGGCACAAAAGTCCTCGCAGCCGCATCGGCATGCGGCTGCTGCAGCAACTGTATCTAGCTCTGGGTCGAACGCGACATCTGGCGGAAGCACGAGCGCATCAAAGCGGCGCTCCGAGCGTCCCATTGTGGCCCCCATACCGCCCTACAACTCAAGCCGTCCCCCAGTCGAGCCAAGGCCCGGACACCAACGTGCTGCTCCCAACGCGGCTGTGGCACGTACCAATGTATACAGCAACAATGTTGCTCAGGTAAACCAAACCAAACAAAGCTCAGTCAAAAAAAAAAACAAAATACATTCATGTTCAGATATAATACTTTCTACTACTTTTACTACCATAACGGGTGGGAAACTAGGTCATAAATTTATCAATGCACGTTGAAATTTGGCTTCATTTTTAATCGGTTGTTATTTGGTGGCTTTTTGCAGGGATCCCCGAATCTGCAGATGCGAAGCAGTGCTCCGATGCGATGGCGCGCCACTGAGGAGCATATCGGCAAATACAAGCTCATCAAGACGATCGGAAAGGGAAACTTTGCCAAAGTAAAACTGGCAAAGCATCTGCCCACTGGCAAGGAAGTAGCAATAAAGATAATTGACAAAACCCAATTGAACCCTGGGTCACTTCAGAAACTATTTAGAGAGGTTAGCTTCCATTTATTTGTGAATATTATCAATATGCTAAATTTCCTCCTATGTGTTTTGTAGGTTAGGATAATGAAAATGCTTGATCACCCCAACATAGTTAAACTTTTTCAAGTTATCGAAACGGAAAAGACGTTGTATCTCATCATGGAATATGCATCGGGGGGTGAGGTCTTCGACTATTTGGTACTACACGGACGCATGAAAGAGAAAGAGGCGCGGGTTAAATTCCGTCAAATTGTATCGGCTGTGCAATACTGTCATCAGAAGAGGATTATACACAGGTATTTATCTATGGCAATCTTAATTAACGATCCATATCAATTGCAGCCTCGACAGGGTCATTTTCCATTTAAAAATAAATCAGTAAATCAATACAAATTACTCCACCACGTAGCTAAAATTTCAATATCAATGTAACAGTTGAATAGTGTCCTTAAAGTTGATTTTAAAGGGTTCAACCAAAGACAATATAAACGTTAAGATCAGTAGTAACACCCAAAATTTCTAGCCTGGCTTCTCATCTGGCTTTTCCCATTTCACACGACATATAATAATAATATATTTTACGACTATGCTGCGAATAGCTTCCCTATATAGGCTGTCGCCTAGGGAAGGAAACTATCTTAATTGATCTCTATTAATTAAATTTCAAAAATTAGATGCTAACTCAATATATATTTTTCTTTTTAAACAGGGACTTAAAAGCTGAAAACTTATTACTGGACAGCGAGTTGAATATTAAAATAGCTGATTTTGGTTTTTCGAACGAGTTTACGCCTGGCTCCAAGTTAGATACCTTCTGCGGCAGCCCACCCTACGCAGCGCCCGAGCTCTTCCAGGGCAAAAAATACGATGGACCGGAAGTGGATGTTTGGTCGCTGGGTGTTATTTTGTATACATTAGTGAGCGGATCCCTGCCTTTCGACGGTTCCACTTTAAGGGAGCTACGTGAACGTGTACTCAGAGGCAAATATAGGTATTCAAAACAAAATCCATGTTAATTATTGATAATCCTTAATATGATAATCTTTGTTCTCGAATGTTGTCAAGAATTCCATTCTATATGTCGACTGATTGCGAAAATTTGCTGCGCAAGTTTCTAGTACTAAATCCCGCAAAACGTGCTAGTCTTGAAACAATCATGGGAGACAAGTGGATGAATATGGGGTTTGAGGACGACGAGCTCAAGCCCTATATTGAGCCAAAACAAGATTTAGCCGATCCCAAGCGGATAGGTAAGACGGGTACTGTATACAAAATTCATTACTAATATTATTAACGAATTGTGTGTCAAGTTTTGCCTGTTAATTATTTGTATTTTATGCAATGTCGTCGTACACCTCTATTTAAAATTTTAATTTGAATATGTATACTTCTATATATATAGTAGAACTATCCAAAAGAGCTCTACCAATTATTAATTGCCTTATAATTTTGCTAGTTGCTTACATACATAAATACGTACATATTTATTTAAAAATTCTATACAGCTGCGGGTATACAAACCGGAGTTAAAGACTCAGCATCGATCCGACGCAGTGCTTTTGACTTGATGTTAATGGTGATCTTTTTAATCGGCGAATGGAAAATGCCACACCAAAATGTATGCAATCCCTTGGAGGAGAAACGTTTCGTTTTGGAATGGCAATCTTTAATATATGCTCTTTGTTTTTCTTTCTCACCTTGTGTCTCTTACTTTTTTTTTTTTTTTTGTTTCCTATTAAATGCTTCGAATCGTTACCAAACAGCTCAACCGGGAGAAGAAATAAAATTGTATATTATAGGTTACTAGCAAAATGAAAGAGGAAAGCAAGTTATATGCAAATAAAAAAGTCCATCAGTTTTGTATTTAAATAACAAACATTTACTTTAATAGGGTCATTTTATCAGAAAGTTTATTACGCATCTTATTGCACATATATCTCCGGTTTGTGTCCTTAAATTCGATACAATGATAATTGTTATGTACTTATGTATGATCTTTCAATATACCATATATGTTTTGCTGTTTATCAAATAAATGCATGGCATTATTGTACATTTTTGTTATAAAGTTAATAAGAAGTACCCAACTCTGGAACACACACACAATTCTGGCAGTACTCGAGCAAATTGCGAGAACTGTCACGCTAAATATAATGTCAATGTAATGAATTTGCATGTAATGTATACCTAACAACTATCTAATTCGTAAAGTTGAATCTATTCAGAAATAATCATTTTCATGCCTTGTGATTATCTTTTGTCAATGCACAGAAGCTCTAGTCGCGATGGGCTACAATCGACAGGAAATCGAAGCGTCGCTGGCTCAGGTGCGATATGACGACGTCTTTGCCACATATTTGCTGCTCGGCCGCAAGAGCACTGATGTAAGTTGGACGGCGGACATTAATCCGGCAGCGTATTGCATGTCTTCCTCTTTATTTAGCCTGAAAGTGACGGGTCGCGGTCCGGATCATCGCTCTCGCTGCGCAACATTTCTGGTAACGAAGCCGGCGTCAATGCTGGCAATGCGGTTGTGCAAAGTCCCACGCATCGTGGCGTTCACAGAAGTATATCGGCGTCGAGTACCAAGCCCAGTCGTCGAGCTTCGTCCGGTGCGGAAACGTTACGTAAGTCGCATCCACGGCCCAATTATATATATGGGTAATAATGTCTCGTATAATTTCATCACAGGTGTTGGACCCCCAAACGCCAATACGGCCGTAACAGCTGCTGCAATTGGCGTGGCACCTGTCAACCCAAGCAATAACTATAATGCTGTAGGATCAGCCGCCGATCGTGCATCAGTGTAAGTTCCATACGCAACGCAGGCAGCAGAACATATGAGACCCGATATTTGTTGTACTGTCGAAATGCTTTTTAAAATTTTGCAATATTTTTGAAGTTGAGCTGGGAGTGAAGCTACCTTTGATCAATTTTACTTCCCTAGGACATATCCTATCTTTAAAGCGAGTATTTCGACTGTCGTTCGATCAGCCATATTAAAACTTACAAAGCGAAGCAGCTCGTTTTTCACATTCTTTTCGTGTAAACTATGTAAATTGTGTCACAACATTTTTAGAAATGAGTGTGAGAAGCTATTGAAGAAGAATCTATTGGTAGCTAATGAATTAAAATGATCTTGAAAGACGAGACAACTTAATATTTTTTATAATTTATATAAATATATATACCAAGCAGGAATTCGCGATTCCGAATTGAATCGATTCTCAGTTATGTGTATCTGTCTTCCTGTACGAACGCATCGCTCACTGAGATTCTAAGAGCTTGAGAATTTAAATTTTAAGTATACTATGTCAATAAACGGCTTAATCTCAGTTCGATAAAGGGAGATTTTGACAAAATCCAGTATTACGTTTAGAAAAACGTATTTATTATAACTCTTAATGTGAGAGTATAACTGGTTATTTTTCCTGCAAAGTGCATTTACTGTAAAATCCATTTTTTTGAGTTAGGATAGTCTATGGAAAAAGCTGTCGTAGAACTTTTCCTCTAAATTGTATTTTAAATTGGCTCAAATAACGAGGTATACATATAGTTACTTTTAATTTTGAGGCGTGAGATTTGATTGCATTCGTAAGCTCTCGACCTTGCAACACATTTCTATATTTATTTCTTCGTGCTGTTAACCTGTATATTAATAATTTCATTTACAGTGGTAGCAATTTTAAACGTCAAAATACGATTGACTCAGCAACAATTAAGGAGAATACGGCAAGGCTCGCCGCACAGAATCAGAGGCCAGCGTCCGCCACACAGAAGATGCTCACCACAACAGACACATGTAAACATTGCTTGAATTTTCCTCAAATGGCAAAAAGAATATTTTTTTTTTCAACTGTTTTCCTGTTTTCCTGTTTTCCTTGCAGCGCTGAACAGTCCAGCCAAGCCGCGCACAACTGCTAAATATGATCCCACAAATGGAAATCGCACAGTTAGCGGCACGAGCGGCATCATACCACGTCGCTCCACCACGCTGTATGAAAAGACTTCATCGACGGAGAAAACAAATGTTATTCCTGCAGAGACAAAGTACGTGAGCCCTGACTCATTTATCGTTATTGTTGTTGGCACACCAATAATGAGCATTTGTTTGCCTTGGTATTGTTGTTGGTTTTTTTTTTTTATATCTCAATATCATTTCGCATCATATGACATTTAAAGTGAAAGTTGCATATTCAGTTGCGTTGGTGAGACTACCGAAGAATTCGTAGTTGGACAGAGATTGCGTAGTTCTCGCCTAGCTAGCTTTATACTAAGTATATTTCTCCTCGGTTTGCACACACACATTGTCAACAGTATGGTTAGTAGATGTTTTATACAGATACGACGTACGAATCATTTCATGTTTGTGAATAGAGAGCAGTAACTACTCTGTACATATACATATATATATATATATATAGATAATCAGTGTATTTCAGCGCACAATTGAGTTCTGTATTTATTTCTTAGTTGCAGTGCGGTTGGCACAAAACGAAAAATTTATTATCAATATCGTTTCGTTTTCATGTTTTTATATATGTATGTATATCCCGAGGTGGGTTATGTTTGGTTTCTTAAAAAAAGGCTAAACATTCAAATTTCAAACAACACACATATTTACAATCTAACCACTTTTTGACTAAACATATATATATGTATAAACGTAACCAGCAGTGGATCTGCAGCTAACGCTGGAAAGGGTCATACTAAAAGCGCGTCTATTTCAAGCCCTAGGCCATCCACTGACGGATGCATATCAGTATCAATTGACCCCCTTGGATCGAGGTATACACTTGCAAACATTAGCAAAAACATAAAAAAAAATTAGTTAATTTTCAAATGTTTTTTGTTATGTTTTTTGTTTTTTTTTTTTAATTTTCTAATTTCAACCAAAATTGGCGGCCTTTTTATTTTTTAAGGGACGATTATTCAAAGCTTTCCAAATTAACTCAATCTTACGCAATGCATTTCCAAAAAAAAAAAAGAAATCTTTTTCACATCTGTAATATCGAAGAACAATATAAACATTATACTCTATATCCCTGTCGAGTTTCATTGCCCATCAAAGGAGTATGAATATAATTTCTAAATGTATTTTCTAATGGTTATCTCCGTACGACTGTCAGTCCGTCCGTCTGAACCGCTTCAATTGTAAAACTTACATCATCTTTGTCGTTTAGGTTGTAGAATACATTGTGTAAATGTTTTTATTTATTCAATCAAATCGAATAACATTTATAACAAGTTGCATACTCAATATTAGATATATTTATGGCGTTTTATTAGTATGAACTTGTATCTTACAGCATGTATATGCATACATTAAAATATATATTCAATTACAAAGAAATTAGGCCGCGATAAATAATATCTTCTTAATTATATCATCTTCGATAATAGTATCTTCTTAACGAAAAGCATAAAAGGTTTTAAAGTGCTTATTCTTTGGTGGATTTCTACTGTAAGTGCAACTGAGTATCGAAATCTCATCAGATATATTCTGTAAGAGTTATAATAGATCTAATCTAATAGATCTGCCATTGCTAAGTTCGATGCTGTCTTGAAAAGATTTCTGACCACATTTATTAGTTTGTCACGTTGAGACGATCAGTTTGAACAAACTCGCCAAACTAATCCTGGCCACGTCCACTTCCCCACAAATGCACAGTTTCATAGTCCCTTTAAAGAAAGGGGAGTTACAATCTTGCCCAGAATCAAAGGCGGTTTTCCATCTGCAGAGCAGAGAATCTGTCGGTCGGTAGATTCCGACTGCAATGACATCTTCTTACTGGTATTATATAGAATATGGTCAACTTTACAAGAACCAAACCCATTTCTTTAAGATATGTGTTCAGCGGGCTTTCATCCTGTGTGTACTCGTGTTTTTGTTAAAAGTTTTAGTGAGTCGATTCGTATTGCATTTATGGTTAGTATATGGTGTAGCTATATGTTTGTTAATTTGTTGCTAATCTAATCGAATTTAATAGAGTATTTGCTTTAGAGATGTGTTCTGTTTGGTTTTATTACAAAAAAACAAATCGTTAACTAAAAATTTTGATCAATTGAATAATGTAAATTTCTTATCTTTTCATGTTTTATACAATTTTGAACATTAACCGTTTATAAACCAATTGTCTAATTTTGATAACTGCCACACACTACTACATACATCCAATCTCCAATCTTTGTGGCGTATTCTTCTATCTGCAACTATAAATAACATCACCAACACCAACGAAACAATGCAACAATCTCCTTCGTGTTCTCGGTGTTCGTTCAAATATTTATCTACTATTATCTATCGTTAACAAAAATGACAAATTGATATCCCGTTAAAACCAATCAAAACAAAAAATATCTAAATCCGAACGAACTAAAATTTAATATGGGTTTGAATTCCAACTCGATTCAAATCAAATCAAATTCATTTTGGATTCGAACCGAACCGAACTGAACCGAACAAACTTTGGTGAGTGAAACTGCAAAAAAAAAATATACTTTAAGCAAACAAAACTAAGAATAAGTATAAATAATTAGTGTAAATTCATTTTAAATTGCTTCACATTACATTCTGGCATGCGCGGTATCCAAGTCCAATGATACTATATTCTTGTATTTGTTTTTATATACTTAACTTAACTCGACATGAGATTGTGTCCGTTGCGCTGAAACCAAAATTAATGAATCCAGTAAAATAAATCAACTAATTGTATTTATGTGTCTGCATACGATTTGAACCAAGTATTTAGGTAGTCAGTCCTAAACGAGATATTTAAATCACATAAGTTCTTCATTGTGCATGGCAAATGCTATTCATTTGTAATCCTTACTATTAAGAAAACCAAAAAACGATCCCATTAATTTGCCATACTCTAATACTCTGTTGTTTTAAGCTTCCGATAATTGTACTCATTGCTAGATAAGTTTGTTGATGTTGTAACTTTGTGCAAGAATCACTCGTGCATACTTCCCCTTTCGACATACATATTTATCTACTTACATATACATTCATGCTCTCTCTCTCTCTATCCGTATGTACTCTCTTTTCGAACGTATTTATACTTTAACTAGTTATTTTAATACGTGGAGCTCTTGCAACTGTTCCTTGTCATGTATAACTCTTATACCTCTTATGCGACCAAGTTATAATAAGCTATTTTAATTGGGTAACCGAAATAGAGTTGTGATTCATCTAAAACAGATGCTAGCAAGTATAATATTCACCAGCTGCTCCCACTAGAGAATGAAATAACATATTCTTTGCAAATGTTGTAACTTATTGCTTTATGCTTAGTTCACCCACATGCATATACATTCGTACATACATACATGTATGAATGTGAATCAGCTCCAGAACTCATGAGTATTCGAACTTTTTACCAAGTACATTTCATAGCACTTGCAGTGTCCGTCAGGATATGCATTATCCATTTTGGGACCGCTTTCTAGCTGCGTAACATCTTGAAGCTATGCAAATGAATGAATTTGCTTAATCCATCTGCTCTATTTTCAAGGCTCTTATTCAGTTAATTTCCATGGCTATGCTTAAACAACTATCTGACTACTATATTTGAATATATTTATGTTTAAGAAACGTATTGTTAAGTGCTCGTTTTATTTACAAATTTACATGATTTTTATACATAAATCTTTTTCTTTTCATTTTGTTTGTGTCTACATGATTCTACATGATTACCAAACCAATATAAACTGCCATAATCGTTTGATTACCGTTACCGTTACCGTTACCGTTACCAACCATCACATTAACCAATCAAACAATCTGCTTGATTCGCGCTGTCTCTCGTGTCCGCCCTGTACACATATCGTCATTGCGCCAATACAAATGCAATTCAAATACAATCGAAAACATCAACAACAACAACAACAACAATAAACGACGCAACTCCCTTCCACACACAAACGCAATACTTTGGATTGGATAAAAATCGACATCGATTTGATGATGATGACGTACTTTGCTCATTATTAAATTAACACGCACACAAACACACACACATACGCACGCGCGAACACACACACACGCCAACTTAAAAACCAAACGATTTAACGGTCTATCGATTACACACACACACACACACACACACATTGCACAAATATCAAATGAATAACTGTATACTGATAAAAAAAAAACATTCGTTTTCTGAAATGCAATTCATTGGACTATAATGTACCTCCACGAACTCTGACTATGATTCGATATATCCATTCATACGTATGTGTGCATATGTATTGTACTTGTACATATATATAGTCTGTTCGATCGACTTAGAATGGCATCGGCTGTTAAATCAAGCAGACACTTTCCAAGGAATGTTCCATCACGTTCAACCTTTCACTCTGGTGAGTTTTTCTGTTTAATTATTTTTATTAGTTTTAGTAAAATAACTTAATTTTACTCACAATTTTACTAAACAACAATTTACATATATATAAACTACAAATAATAATGATAATCGAGTTCTTTTTTGTTAAGTTTTTTATTCGCCTTTCGTTTCGTATTTTAATCGATTCCTTACGTCTTGCGCACGTACAATACATGATATTCTAAGGATTGTCTAAATTTAAGAAAATCAATTATCACTATTTTTATTATCATTATTATTGGAATTATTTTATATATATTATTATGTTGTGCTTTGTCGTTGTCCTATGCATCCGTCCCACATCGCTTCTCATTTTAGTAGTTTGCATTATTTAATGTTTGGATCATGCACGATTATCAATATGGAGAAATACCGTATATATAATATACTATATATATATAGATTTTAAATTGCACGTAGGTGCTTTACGCATCTATTCGAACAGATATATATTACTATTCCTACTTGAAATTATCTATTTGATATCTTATTAGTATTGTTGACAACAGATTTCTCTTATCATAAATAATATCTATACAGAAATTTTAAATTTAAATCTATCTATATACTTCAATTGAATTTTTTTCATGTAAAAGATTTCAGTTTTAATATAAATAAGATTGTTTAAAGGTGCACAAATTGTTGTTAAATTACATAATAAATAAAAATAACAATTTTAAGTGTATATATGGGAACTCTTTAAACCGGGACTTTCGATTATCCATAATCATCAGTTGCATAGATATATATATATTATTACTTTTTTAACTATGAAAGGTTTCTTAAGGGAAAGTATACTATTAGGATTTCCAGCATGTTTTCTCCAAATTAAATTGATCGTAAAGACCAATATTTAGATATTATTTATTTATCAGTTTATTTATTGTATGTGCAAATACTCAGATATATTTTACATACATATTTAATAGGAATTCCATACTGGGTCACATGGTGAGATTGACAATTTTATCTCTTTCTGTCCGTCTGAACTTGTTGAAACTAGGGACTTGACTATGGTTAGATTATAGGGAGATCGGAAAATTATATATCTTTTACAGTTTTAGAGCTAGGCTAGGGATTGAAGATTGAGTCAAAAGTATTCAATCTATGATGAGTGTCACTCGCCACGATCAATTTGTATCTATTTGAGTTATTTTCCGTTATTGGGCTGTGAAAGAGTATTGTGCAGTCGGTTGAACCCGACCAGTGTTGGGTAATAGTTGAGAGAAATAGTAATAATAGAAATAGGAACAGTTTGTTATATTTGTACGATAAGAAGATATCGATATTGGTATATATATATATTTCTTATATTTGATGTTAGTTAGTTGACCAAATTTGCAATCTAGGATATACTAACGATTTACAAACTATGTAGTTAGTGTCTAGATAACTAAGTCTATTTGTATTTCATGTAATTGTATCTAATATATATGGACATTTGTTGTTGTAGGTCAAACCAGGGCACGAAACAACACCGCACTGGAATACTCTGGTACAAGTGGCGCCTCCGGTGATTCGCCGCATCCGGGTCGGATGAGCTTTTTTTCGAAACTTTCCTCCCGTTTTAGCAAACGGTAAGTGTCGAATATCTATGTATATCATATATTATCAGTTATTCTTTCATTCTGTTTATCAATATTACAAGAAAAGAAAATGCAGTTTAAATTCAGTTTTTTTTTTTTAATTTGTATTTTCCTATTACTTTTTGTTTTCTTTTCTTTTCTTTTTTGTTAGTTTTTTTTTTTTTAATTTCTTTTGGATTTATTTTTTTTATTTCATTTAATTTTTGTTTCATGTTTCATTTTTGCATATTTACACATACACATATGTACATATGTATGTGTTTATGTTTTGTACCAAATCCGTTTTAATGAATGAACTAAGGTCAAACCCAGATTGTGATCTCTACAGCTATTAAACTAGTTAATCGATTGATGATACTAACGAATCCTAACTATATCTATTGCTTATATAAATTATACAATTGAGATTGAGATTGCGATTTTATTTGAGGGACTCTCAGCACAAGGAATATCTATGACAATATCTAATTAGTTTTCAGTTTTACGGGTAAATGGGCCAGGAGTAAGGTCTAAAAGTCAAGTCAAAAATGCTGTTGGAGAGTAGAAAGATTTGACCGAGTCTGGCAAATATTTTACCATGAAGAAGAATCATATAAATAAATATAAATATATATTGTGTGAGGATTTGGTGTCGAGTCGCCGCTGCACGCTTTTCCCATGCACATAATATATCACAAGACTATACAAAAATAAACAAAACGATCTGTTTAGCCTCCATCTATAAGGTTTAAGTTCATTTCAATAGGGTTTAGCTTGAGGGCACGTCCCTTGCCCTTTGCCCTTTGCCTTTTGCATGCTTTGGGCCAAGTTGTTGGCAACTGCTTGGAAAAGGGCTGAAAATTGACGGAGCTACGTTTTAGTTACTATCAGATATATTTAGTTTGTATGTCACGAAAGTCTCATTCATCTTTGGTTGCATGAGGAATGTTTGCTGTATATTTATATATATTAATTTGTATGAAATTGTATTAAACTATTTGTCCAACTCGTTTTCATTGGTTACTGTAATTGTTTGTGAAATGCTGAAAACTGTTATTTGTTTCATTTTATTTTTGTTTATGCTTATTCATTTAAACTAACGAGAAAGTATTTTAATAACATAAACACATAATACTTATGTAGATATGTACACAGGGAAATTGGTTAAGATTGAATTCGAAGAATATTTACATCACATAAGTAAAAACTAAAAAATATATATAAATAAATAAAAAAAAAAAAACACGCTTCTCAAATGATTCGAAACTCTTTCAGATTTGAGACTGTGTTTTTTTTTTTTGGCTAGTCTGTTTGATTTAACTAAACTTAACTCAACTCAACTCAACTCAACTCAATTCAATGATTCGGATACAAAACAAATACAAAACTTCGCATACATACATACATATGTAACAACGTGCAATGTATACATATTAGCTGAATGTACATTTACCCAATTTGGCCAATTGTTGGCCAAATGCCAGTTGCCAGTTGCCATTTGGCAGGATCTGTAGATTCCTCTGTCTGTCGCGCGCTCTCTCCGTCACTTTAACTTTCTCTTTTTGTACATAAGCAGGGTATTAAGTCTTTATGTCCAACTTTTGCCTTTCTTCGATTGCCTAATGTATTACCGTGTATGTGTATACATTTTCATCCCACTAATAGGAAGCGCCAGCCTCAACTGTTCTTGTCTGTTTTTTTATTCTTATTCATTTCCAAAAAAAAAAAGAAAAACAAAAAACATTTGTTTAATTATAATTATTTAAAGATTTTTTGAAATTGCGTTTACTTTTCTTTGCCAATAATGAAATAATGACAAAAGAAAATAGAAAAACAAGTGCAAAAAAGAAGAAAAGAAAAAAAAAACTAGAAAGAAAATGTTTTTTTTTTTTTTTTTTTTTAGTTTTTTTTTTATCATTATTCCGTTTTATTCTTATTTTGTTTACTTTCGTTTCATTTGTCGTATTTGTTTTTACCCATTATTAATATTTTTTCCAGCCGTGAATAATTTGTTTAAAATTTTTTCTTTAATTTTAGGCCAAACCAGTAATTAACAAAAACAAGCAATTAACTACTTCTTGTTAATAGTTCTAAAACTGAAACAAACAAACAAACAAACAAACAAACAAACGATTCCCCCTAAAGTTAACGCTCGTGACGAAGAGATACAGAAATATGTTACAGATATGATATCGAACAGATCAGATTCAAGATCAGATCAGATCAAACGGAGCGTTTCGGTTTTCGTTCGGTTTCGATTCCATCCGATTCCCCCCCCCCCACCCCCCTCTCCCCTCTCTCCAGAAAAGAACGTCGAGAACGTTGAGTTCCGTTACGTTAATAGAAATTCACAAAGAAAAGCGTGTCTATGTTTTACAACAATTATTAACTAATTATACTTATACATTTATATAAATTAAAATACACACACACACACACACACATATATATTTAAAAGTAAATCAACAACAACAACAAACAGATGCCAACAATTCTTTGTTTTCTTTGTTTGTTAACTAATTTCAATTCAATTCGATTCAATTTGATTTGAGTTGAGTTGAGAAACACGCTTCAAATCACAAATGAATTTTGAAATAAATAATATAATACGCATAGGCTGTTGCTATGTCATTGTCACTATTTTTTTTTTCCATATTGTTTTACTGCTAAAACTGAAACTAAAACTAAAACTAAAACTAAAGCTAGTAATGCTATCTAAATTGCGAAGCGCTATCTTAGTAATTACACATAATATGTATACATGTACGCGTATAATTATCCGAATCGTTTAAGTTCACACCAAAAGCAGCTGCGCGAGTAAAATGAATTCAAATTTACCAATACCAATACAAATGTATCTGTATCTATATATCTATGTACGTATGTATGTATGTATGTACGCAGGTTGAAATATATATGTATTTACAACTGTTGCGAGAGAATCATATACAATCACGATTAAAAAATAAAGAATGATATGATAAAAAAAAAAACTGACACACACTGATTATTATGAAGTTGAAGTCTAAGCGCATCAAACAAGCGTATTTAATGTAATTTAAGAGAAACCAATTGATTAGTTACCATTATACAAAACGTATCTTTTAATATCAAGGATCAAATGTATTAAAAAAAAACGATATGCATGTGACCATTTTATTTGTACAGATGATTATCTATAAATCGTGTTATCGGGCACCTTCAGTCGTCTGATTAGTTATATATATTAAGTTTCAAAGAAATAACATATAATTAAATAAATGATTAATTTAATTAGAAATAAATTATGTGGACAAATTTTGTTAAACAAAGCAAACAAATATTTAAACTTTAAATCCATTTGAATTTTATTTCTCTCTCCTTACGCTCGTGTTTCCCAACATCAAATTCAAAATTTTCAACAAAATCATATTTTGATTTAACACAATTATCGAGTAAATATAAAATCTAAACCCGATTAATTCTCAGTTCCAATAGCTTAACGATAACTACAGTATTATGAGCATCAAATACGTAATTGAAGAGTTAGGAGATTTTAAAATTGACAGATCTGCGGGCTGTCTGGCGAAGTTTTCGTTTTTAAGACCTCCCTCTATTCGCAGCGAGAACCAAATAATAACTAGCTCTTATTATTTTCGAGTCATGAACCCATTGAAACATTGGGTAAACAGGGTATAATGTATTTGTGCAAATGTATGTAACAGGCAGAAGGATGCATCTCCGACCCCATAAAGCATATATATTCTTGATCAGCATCAACAGCCGAGTCGATCTAGCCATGTCCATCTGTCTGTCCGTCCGTTTGTCCGTATGTATGAACGCAAGGATCTCAGAACCTATAAGAGCTAGAGACCTGAAATCTCGGTCGTCCTAGTGCCCGCGCAGATCAAGGTTGTTCGATAACTTGCCCCGTTTCCAAGTAATCGATAAAAATCGAAATCGAAATCCTGTTTCGGCAAATAATATGAGCTAGAGTCACCAAACTTGACATGTAGCTTCTAGAATAGTATATATATATCAAGTATTTTTCATTTTATAGCTATCGCCTGTCGGAAGAAAGGGGGGGCAGGGTATCCCCCAGTCGGGAGCTCCCGACTAGAACCTCTTACTTGTTTAAAATTATAGAAATGGGAGATGTCAATAATATTAACATGAAAAACTAGTTCTGCGCACGATAAACGAAAATATATTTTCAATATTTAGTTTCAGGCATTTGCAATGTGTGTTCAGGGCAGATAGAAAGCGTGTTAAATGGGAAAGTAATTTGCACTTTTATATACATTTAAACACATTTGAATGTTTTTTGTTTTGTTGATGCACAGCTCTACTCATAGCCGGACGCAGTTTATCATCGTTTTTTTTCCATACAAAGCAGACTTTCCAATAATTGATTTGGGAACAGAATTAATAAAACTCACTAACAAGAATTCCATTTAATCTGTAGATAGCCCTTTTACCAATTCCCATTCATAACAATCCTGCTGCCAATGAAAAATGTTCGATCTGTTCAAGAAAAATTGTAAAATTTGTTGTGAAAAATCGTTGCGTGAAATTGCAGAGCTAAAACTGGCAAATTACTAACCGCAGAAATTAATAATAACAAAAATAATATAGTTTAACTACAATAAAGCATTTAAAATGAAACAGTTTTTACCTCTCCCACGTTGGGTATCCGGTTAAGAGAGGGTATATACGTACATAAAAAGTTCGAAGCAGATGCATGCCACACAGGGTATCTTCTAGTCGGGCACTCTTGATTACAGCACTCTTCATTCCATTTTAGTTTTGCATTCTCCAGTTGGTGTCGTACGTAAACCTATATCCATTTTTATTTTGAAATATTATTTAGATGATTTCTTATTGAGCTGAGTTGCAAAATGTATATTAACGGGTTTAAAAAGTAACACAATGTCTCTAGATATGATTTAATCCTTGCCATTGTCCTTACGTAGACTTAACCCACTAATAAAAGATATCAAGTAAGCATTTATTCAAATCGTAGCATGGACAGTATGAGTTGCGTACCGAAAAGGTAAGGTTAGGGCTTTAATACCCAAGTAAATGCTGATGAACTATTTTAACTTTTAAAACGAATTGATAGTGGAATGAAAATGAAAAAGAGTAGAATGTTTGGGCTATTGGATTATACTGTTGAACTCTTAAGATCAAGAGAACATTATATCAAAAACATACGTCTCCCAATGTGAAAGCTTTCTTCATAGATTATTAGAGGATATCGACTTCGGTTAGCGCAGCATTTTATCTTAACTAATGACAATTAATTTTGATTGGCTGACAAAATGAAATAAAAGTTTTGGCGTTTGTAAATCTTTTATTCCTTGAGCAGAACAACTTTGGTATAGATTAGTTTAAGTCGTTGCCCATTTTAAAAATTGCCATTGATAAGTATGGAAATGCTTAAATTAATTTGCTTAAATTTACTTTCATCAGCAAATAACTGTGAAGTCTCTTTGCTCGTCATTTAAAATGTGTCTACAGCTTTAACATTATCTTATCTTCAAGATAATGCATAGCTATAAACGATTATAGAAAGTTGTGCGACAGATTAAAGCGACAGTCGTAGAAGAAAGCGCAAAAAGAAAAAGACAGAGATTTGTATTGTTTTTAATTTTTTTAAAAATAACGCTTATTGTCTAAAGAATAGATAAATAAAGAAAATAATGCTAATTATTAAGAATTATGCATAGTACAAACAATAAGGTAAAAATTCGTACTTTTTTACAGTCTTGTTTGAGAAACCTTCTACGGGGACTACAGATGGGCGCAGGCCATATTTTAACGGGCCATATTTAACGGGACTTTCAACCTAACTCTCCAATTTCACCGGTTCGCGCCGGAAAGCTTTCAAAAGTCATTTCTTAGATTTTCAATAAACTATATGCGAACTATCAATCGGTTTTAAGTCGATAGTTACACCTGATAAAGTTGTCCTTACAGAGCCTAACTTTAGATATTTTTTGTTGGAAGATTACCCAACTGCAATGCATTAATAAATTTACAGGACAATTAACTCTAATTAGAGCATCTTTTTTTTATAGAGGGTTTTATAATTTTATTACGAAATGTGTAACGCATGGAATGAGACATCTCCGACTCCATAAAGCGTATATAGTCTTGCGCGATATAAGCAGCCTAGGAAATATAGCCATATAGCCATATATAGCCTATATAGAAATATAGTCTGCCTCTATGCAAAAGTAGTCTGTCAGCCTGATAGCAGATCATTGCCTCATTGCATATATCGGATCGTATACCTGACATAGGAACGATCAATCAAAATGATGTTCTCCTATAAAAAACGTTCTTGTTTTTTAAGATAACTTGACCGAACCGGCAGAAACTTCACTATGCTCATTGCAAATGAGTTAAATCTTATCAATATCGAACTAGTAAAATTAGAATAGGTCTTTTTTGTATGGAAATAACATCTTGCACATTTAAAAAGAGCCCTAAGAAGTATAAACAGGCGGTCCTCTTAGCTCTTGCCAATAAGAAAGGCAGCTCGAGAATATTAGATAGAAATGCATTTGCTAATAAAAGTCGCAGTGAACATGTCTACAAAGGCAAATATGGTCTTTAACAAATAAAAAGTTATTAACAATATATATGGGGTTAAAGGTATTCTTAAGCTGAGAGCTCTTCACATACTCGTTTGACCTTGGTTTTATTTGGTTTCTTTTTGGTAACACATTACGTAATTAATGAATTAATTTTTAGTACATCTACCACGGAAGAGGCAGCTAAGCCAAGAGTTTTGCGATTTACATGGTCCATGAAGACCACATCCCCGCTGATGCCCGATCAGATAATGCAAAAGATAAGGGAAGTGCTCGATCAAAACAATTGCGATTACGAGCAACGCGAAAGGTCAGTCTCCATCCAATTACTATGGCTTATAGTCAAGTATATTAATATGTTTTATACGCAATAGGTTTGTTCTTTGGTGTGTACACGGCGATCCCAACACGGATTCGTTGGTCCAGTGGGAAATCGAGGTGTGCAAGTTGCCGCGTCTCTCGTTGAACGGGGTGCGCTTCAAACGCATTTCTGGTAGGTGAATCTTCACTAAGTTTTAAGTGATTAAGTTTATTGAGTTTGTGTGTTTTTGGTTTTTGGTTTTTGCAGGTACAAGCATTGGCTTCAAAAACATTGCGTCTCGCATTGCTTTTGACCTCCGTCTGTGACTTAACAAAACGACCAACGAGAGCTGCACAGCCACCACCACCGAAAGCGACACAAAACCAACCACCTCCACTGCCAAATATCAGTTGGCCAGCGGCAGTAGCAAGCTGTCCGGGCAATCGATGCTGCGTCGGTCGGTCAGCAGTCACCAGAGATCGAATCGGTTCAAGATAAATCGTTTGCCCGGCATTAGGAACGATGGACACAAGAAGACAGGCGTGCTGTCCTCAGCTTTTCAGACTTACTTGCCCTTCAGATCGAAGGAAACTTTGAAATCCCAAAGCAAATTCGACGCATCACGCTCAATCGGTTATGAATTTCAGAGTGCCGAGCGTCCACAGATAGATCCAATAAATTGTATGCTGCAGGAGAACGCCGACTGTATAATGCCCAGTAACTCAACTGAATCTCAAGTGCTAAACCCAAACGTTTCTTCAAATATGGATAAAGATGCAGCTGGCGGTGGTGAGGGCGATCGGAATGGCAGTGAGCTGAAAGCAAGAGGAAGCAACAGCAACAGCAACAGCAACAGCAGCAGCAGCAGCAGCAGTCGCAGAGGAAATCGATTTAAGAGGAACATCAAGAATACCGGAAGTCTAATTGTGCGCAAATTGACATCCTCCCGTTACGGGAGGGACACTGGCAAGGCAGGCGGGCAGACCACATCAAAGCACTCGGATGGCGCGGAAGAGAAGAATGTTATAAATAACGATAAGCCAAACAACACCAAACAGAATGTAGCAATGTTACGCACCACAACTCTCTAAATACATGCATATACATATATACCACATAAACAAGAAAGAAGAAACCAGAAAGAAGAAACAAGAAAGAAGATCGGGCCTCCTGTGGCGAGAGTCAGATGTATTTGTCTCCAATCATAGTATGACACTAGCCTAGCATAGAATCTCAACTAAAAATTAATGTTTTACATTTATTCATTGATCTATCGCGTATTGAATATCTTATATAATAATAACAGACGAGCAGACAAAATTTAACCAACTTAAGTACATAAGCACCAACATGCATAATGTCATATGTACACCTATATATTGATATCGTTAATTGCTAGACAGCGTAGGTGGGAGCCACACCGTTTTAATTCAATAAAATGAACAAAAAATATACATATATATAAAAAAAAAAACAAAAATCAACGCTATTTAACGCATTTTTTACCCCGTGGATTTAAAGTACACATAAAACATAAAACATAAAGAATACGAATTTTTGTTGATAATTAATTTAGGTTTATGTTTGGCTTTTTTCGTTGGTTTTCGTAAAATAACACAGAAATAAAACAAAAATACATGAAACAACAAATAGATTGACAATTGTCGAAAAGTCAGTTGATTTGGTGTTATTAAACAATGGAATATGAACTCATATAACTATACGTCTGCTATAAAATCTTTTTTATTTATAAATGCGTTTGTAGCCGATGCGCTTGTTTCCTTAAATGAGTTCTTTTTATAAAGTAGCCCAAGCTTCAAGTTACACAAAACAAGCTACAAACATAAAATTTTAAAAATGTATATTGTATTTAAATAATTATATTTATTTAACCACTTCTCAAAGTTAGTCTTTTTACATTCTATATTTGTGGCACTCTTGAAACTAAATTTGATTTGATTTCGTCTTCGTAAAGAGCCTGCAGCCTGCCCAAAATGCCGAGAAACAGTCGAAAAAAATAAAGGATTTCGTTAGCGACTTTTTTGATTTATTGAAAACGGGCCAAGTTATCGATTATCGGGAATAAACTCGTACTGCCCGGACACTAGGAGGACCTACTTTCGAAATTTCAAGCATCTACGTGATGTAACCCCTTGCCATTTTGTTGATTTTGGTCAAAATTTAGATTTTTATTTTTTTGATGCCAATCGTTAGTACTGATCCTTACGAGTCCAAAATGGTATAAAATTCCCAAATCGGACATTATTTGGCCGATATATTCCAAAAAATCATCAAAAAAGGTTGACTTTACAAACAAATCGGTTTTTGGTCAACCACATTTTTTAACCCTTCGATTTTGAAAATGTTTGAATGCAGATTGATAGTTGGGATCCGTACGAATTCAAAAAGGTATAACATTTCAAAATCTGGCAAAGTTTACCCTAGATATTCAATAAAAATCATCAAAAAAGTTTTGATTTTCGAACCGACCCCGATTTTTAGACAAAACGTGATGTAACCCCTTGCCATTTTGCAGATTTTGGCCAAAATTTAGATTTTCATTTTTTACATAACAGTTCAAAATCAGACGATATTTATTCATGATATTCAAAATGTGATGCAGGGCACGCTTTGATAAATTTCACCCGAAACTGTGGAAAAATCGCGAAAAACTGTTGTATGGTCTCAGTCATTTTTAAACAAAAACTTTTAATTCATTTGAAGGGTGTCTGACACTTTTCGGAGAATCCATCCCTTCTTTGTGGAAATTTACTGCTAAAAATCTTTTTGAACATTTTTTGGGAGACGTGTTTTACTGTTTTTTTTAAGAATTTGGAAATTCCGTCCGCAACTATGGTAATTTTGCGAAAAACGGTTGTATACAAATTTTTAGTTGAATATTTTGAAAGATCTTCGTTGAATTTCATTTAACTTTTTCGCAAAATTCCCCATTTTATGGATTTTTCTTCGATGAATTTAAAACATATATTGAAATAAGGAAAAAGCTGGGTTAAATAGAAATATCAAAAATTTGAAGGCCGGGAAATAACCGCTAGAGACTTATAAAAAGATTAAGATTTGAGTTAATAGAAACACCAAAATGTTGACTATAAATTATCACAATCAATATAATAATTGAATATGCATACACATGCATTTGATAATGATTTCAATAATATATTTAAATGGAATCGCATAAACAATTGCGTTTTTATTAAAGCTCATCGTCAAGATCAAAGTTTTCGGGCGGAAAATCACCTACTTCAACGGATAACGGAGAGACAAAACCTCCATAATTTGGAGGACATACGAAATATGATTTGCCACCAACGCTGAAAAATACGATATATTAAAGTTAGTTGTTTTAACAGCTTGTTAAAGTATTACCTTCCGTTATTCTTGCCTAATGGCTCATCATACTGAACGCCAATAAAAATTCCAGTTTTTCCCTCAAGTGGCCCATTGTACATTATTGTGCCACGACGTGTTGGGTTTCCTGCCACAGTCACCTACAAGTAGAGTTTGAACACAATGTATTAAAGTCTCATTAAGTAACACGAGTAGCTACCTGACACCGGCCACCTACGACGCAGCGCTCCGCCCGCTTCTGCATTTCTTCAGCGTGCTCCCGCCGTTTCGCTTCCATTTGTTGCATTTCCTCGTCATTATACTTCCCAAGACGATTCTGTTTTAAGAAGTTACGCACAGAATCGCCCCTTTGCTCGTATTGGTCATTGGTCAGCTCAAATTTTTCAATCGACTCGCTATCGAACCCGAAGCTCGCAAACGTATCAATGACATGGAGCCGCAGGCCATCGCAATTGACATAAAAACCCAGCTTGGCATCATTGTTGCTCAGTGCCGTCACAAAGTTGTCACCTTTATACAGTTCTACTTTCATGGTGCTAGCACTTCCTCCGGTTAATATTTCCAATTTGCTCTGTGAAACAAAAATGATCACATCTGTTTGGATTTTTATTGTTTATGAACACAAATGACTACCTTCAGCTGAGATATGGTTATGTCCTTGGCGAATTTCATCTCAAATGCCACGGCATCATTATGCGAGTTAGATACATTAGCTTTAATATAAGAGCAATCCGAATTGTCCAATTGAATTATTCCCGACATAGTATCACAAATTAAGCTTTAGCGTCGCTCGGTAGTCAAAGACGTAGGCGATAACTCTAAGCGATGACCGATAATTTCCAATATAGTGTATTCCACTAATTTAATTGTATGTGTGTGGGCTTGGTGCTTGGTAAACATCTGCAGCAGTTGTTACTAAGTTTATGCAAGTTACAAAAAGCCTTTTGTTAACAGGCATAGCACATACAAATTGAGTTTGACAAAAAATACCTGATGTTTCCCATATAAACATAAAATTGTGGAAATTAAAAAAATGTTTTATGCATATTTAATAATTGTACGTTTTAACACTCGGAACTTTATTTTTAGTTGCTGTGATAATGTGATATCGATAAAAACCTAAGCCAATTATCCAAGTACAAGTTCAAAGATAATTTGGTTGTAATGATCGCTTTGGTGAAAGAGAGGTAAAGCGGTATGCATAAATCTCAAAAAAGGATCCTATCTTTCTATCTATAGTTTAAGAAAAAATATTTGTAAATGATTGATTTTCCAACAACGCAAATTGGCGCCAAGCAAATATCGTCTAAATATCGATAGATACCATTGCAGTAAACATAGATATATCGAAGTTCATGCGCATCACTAGTTTGTATACAAGTTTATAATAGTGTGTAAGTGATGTGAGTCCATCAGAAGACAGGGCAAGATGTTTTACATATATTATGATGATATATAAAAAGGTGTGAAGCAAAGTAAACTGAAAATGAATAGGTACAAAGGCTTAATAAGCATTGAACCGCGAAGTAAAACAATGCATCATCCAAAGGAGCAGATTTTAAACTGCTTGACATACGCACTTTTGGCAATTGTCGCAATCTGTGCAGTTGTGCTGCTATGTGACATATCTAGCCATCGAGATCGATTCTTCTACTCCAAAAATGATCCAGTGGTACTTGATTTATCCATATCGCATGCCCAGGAGGTGCTTCTGCGCCCGGACCCGGAATATCGTGGCCGGAATGTAAACTGCACGTTCTGGGATTGCCTAAACATTTATAAATGCGAGCATGACACCCTCAAGGTATACATTTACCCATTGCAAGAATTTGTGGATGAAAAAAGCGACAAGGTGGCCAACACATTGTCAAGCGAATATTTTCAAATATTAGAGACAGTGCTAAAAAGTCGCTATTACACCTCAAACCCAAATGAGGCCTGCCTCTTCCTACCCAGCTTGGATTTATTAAACCAGGACATGTTTGACAAGAATTTAGCTGGTCCGGCTCTGGCATCGCTTAACTTTTGGGATCGTGGTGAAAATCACTTAATTTTTAACATGCTACCGGGCAGCGCACCCGCCTATAATACAATATTGGATGTCAACATCGACAATGCGATTGTTTTGGGTGGCGGCTTTGATAGTTGGACATATCGTCCCGGATTTGACGTGTCTATACCGGTTTGGAGTCCGTTGGTGCATCAAACAAACTCAATCCATAACGGAGCCCACCGAAAATATTTACTAATTGCAGCTCAGTTAAATCTTTTGCCGCAGTATGCGCGAACTCTTTCGGATCTGATGTCGACGGCAAATAATGCTGAGCAAATGCTTCTACTTGGACCTTGTGACAACAATCAGCTGACATCTCGCTGCACTTTAGCGCAGCATCAGAAGCGGTGGGAATACCCACGTGTACTTGGACGAGGCAAATTCTGCTTTATTGGCCGCAGTCTGCGGGTTGGTCAGCCCGATTTGATTGAGATAATGTCCCACAGCTGCATTCCTGTGATAGCGATTGACAACTATGTGCTACCTTTCGAGGACGTGATTGACTGGTCTTTGGCAGCTGTTCGTGTTCGGGAATCTGAGCTGCATTCGTTTATTCGCAAATTGGAGTCAATTTCCAATGTAAAAGTTGTCGAAATGCAAAAGCAAGTTCAATGGCTGTACAGCAACTATTTCAAGGACTTAAAGAGCATTACAATTACTGCGATGGAAATACTTGAAAGCCGAATATTTCCTCTGCTAGCTCGCAGTAGTCGACAATGGAATTTGGTTAGGCAAAATAGCCATTCAACCTTTAATCCGCTATTTCTTACATCGCTTGCCCCAAAGTCTCAAGGGTTTACAGCTGTTATTTTGACCTATGATAGAGTCGAGAGTCTATTCCTCCTTATTCAGAAGCTTGCAGTTGTGCCATCACTTCAAAGTATTTTGGTTATTTGGAACAATCAAAAAAAGATGCCACCGCATTGTGAGTATATTATTCTGCTTGGCAGTTTCTTAACAATCAATAATGCTTTGCCCTTGCAGTATCTACCTTCCCAACAATATCGAAGCCGTTGAAGATAATACAAACTCGGGAGAATAAGCTTTCGAATAGATTTTATCCTTATCCTGAAATCGAAACTGAAGCAATTCTAACTATAGACGACGACATCATAATGTTAACCAGTGATGAGCTTGATTTTGGGTGTGTTATTTAATTTCTAAATGTATTCAAAATCTTATATGTGCAATTTTTTGTAGATACGAAGTGTGGCGCGAATTTCCTGACCATATTGTTGGATTTCCCAGTCGCATTCACATATGGGATAATGCAACAATGCGATGGCACTACGAATCTGAATGGACGAATCAAATATCAATGGTACTTACTGGCGCAGCATTTCATCACAAATACTGGAGCCACATGTACACGTATGCAATGCCAGGCGATATAAAACACTGGGTGGATGACCACATGAACTGTGAAGACATCGCAATGAACTTTCTTGTTGCAAACATTACAAACAATCCGCCCATCAAAGTAACTCCACGAAAAAAGTTTAAGTGCCCTGAGTGCACAAATACCGAAATGTTGTCAGCCGACTTGAATCATATGCGTGAGCGTTCTGCTTGCATTGATCGATTCTCAAAGATCTATGGACGAATGCCTCTTCGCACGGTTGAGTTCAGAGCTGACCCCGTTCTCTTTAGAGATAACTTCCCAGATAAGTTAAAACGATACAACGATATTGGAAGCTTGTAAGCCGCTATCATGCAAACATATTTATATATGGACATTATTTGTAGACGAAATAGCTAAAGACTTATCCAAATATGATATATAAATATTAACTTCTTTCTCTACGTTATCGAGTGCATTTTAAATGGTTTGTTCGCCGAGACGTTTGCATTGATCGCAATCGATAGAGCGCCGAGACATTCATGTAACTTGCACCCAATGGAAGCGACAAATGTAGGTAAAAGGCAGATGGACGCAACTTCGAATCCATAAGGATATTCAGATGCAGTTTATTGCCTGTCCGGTCATACCTGTCTGTGCGAATACGTCGATGTTAAAGACTAATGGCTAGAGACAATATATTGAATAAATTCTCGCTTATGCAGAATAAATTATTTTGTATCATTCTTTCCATTTTAGTTAAACATCGAGAAGACATGCTAGGCTAAAATATGTTATTTAAATTCTCTTATAGCATACACATTTCAAAATAATTTCGTAATCTTTTGGTTGTTCATTAATTTTATATATTGACTTTATAACTTGATCAATTAACACAAGTCTAAGCACTAGTTTTTTGTCTTTTTTTTTTAGTTCATTCTACTATTATTAATTTTTAAAGGTTTGAAACATTCCCATGCGCAACAAATAAAAAGGATTATATCAAATGTTAGCTCTTCAAATTATTTTCATTTGAAAATTAACATCACTAGCATATTGAAAAAAAAAAAATATAATACAGGGTACACTTTTGGCAACTCGTTGATTGCAACTTTTTTGAGAATGTTAAATTAATCATACTAGTAAAAAGTTAAATAAATGCAACGGTTGAAATAAAGCTGACTTACGAGATTTATCCCTTAAAGAATATACTAGTGAACAAGTAGAATCAATGAAACGTTTGAAAAAATGCTATTGAATTTTACTTTGAATAAATACGACTTTAATAACAAAGTGGCAGGCATACTAAGTCCTTATTTTACATTGATCGCTGACCCATACTTGTATATATTTTCTGTCTGGTATGTTAGCAAATACTGCCGCCAACTATAGGGCAGAATCATAGGTATCAACAATAATTTTTGGGTAGACTTTATTGAATGCAAATGTTAAACGGGCATGTTATGAAAATATAAATACTTAGACTGAATTTATCTGGTGAGTTGTATATATAATATCAATTAAACGTAGTTAGCTTTACGCTCCATTAACAGTAGCCAGATATTCTTTGTAGCGTTGCTCTTGTTGTTGTTGGAGTTTTTGAAGTTTCTTGAGTTGTCCTTTGCTAATCTCTTTGCCGTCTTTGTCATGTGTAGGAAGTCCCTAAAATTATGTGTATAATATAGTTGCATTCTTCATCTAGTTGTATTCTACTTACATCTTCGCCGAATGCCGAGTACTTTTCAGTTTCGCTGAGAAACATCTTTTTCGGATCGATTCGACGTTGTGACTCTTTAGCTGCTGCCGCCTCCGCCATAGCTTGTTTTTTACGCTCTTTTTCGGCAGCTCGTTCTGCTTCAGCAGCTTGCTTGGCCTCGCGTTCGCGCAAGAGCATATCGCGGTCAACCAATTTGACAGCAAACTTGCCACCATCCTTATCCTCTAATCGGACACCCAAATTAGGCAAAACATCATCGCGCAGATCATCGCACAGTTTAAGAATGTCGAATGCTTTTAACACCTTCGCCTGTTCACGAACTAAGTTACGGAACTCAGCCACTGATTGAACATATGGCATTACCACCGACTCGTGATCGTTAATTTCTGAATTATTAGATTCTGCACCGCTCAACGGGAAACCAATGCCACCGCGCGGCCCTGCAATGGCTCCGAATATATGCAGCAAATCCGTAATATATGTGGCTATCTTGCGGAGTAACAGGTGGTTAAGCCTTGTCTTATTGTCGCGTATGTAGATGTTCGTAGTTGATACCAGCTCCCGGACTGCGTCGAGGGCGCTGCGCGTATCAATGTTATCTACAAGAAAATGCTATTGGTGATTGCCAAACTAATTTTAACACTGAAACATACCACAAAGGGCCGCATGCACTTGACCCTGCGCTTCGCTAAATTTCGCCTGCAAGGCCGCCTCCAAACCAGTCCACTCACTAAACTGCAGCATAGGTTTTTCAGATAGCACATGGCGTGTTAAGTCTTTGACATTCAAGAAAAATTCCTATAACAATGGGACTCGTTAGTAAATGTATATATTGAAGTCAAAATTACGTAGAGTTATGCTTACATTAAGGAATTTCTCATACTGAGTGGCCATCTCCATAGTATTTTCGGAATAATCGAGCGTGTCTTTCCAAGAGTGCAACAAGAACGCAAGACGCAGCTGCGTAGCTGAGTGCTTTCTCAATGCCTCTTGTATCGTTACAAAATTTTTAAGAGACTTTGACATCTTGCAGCCGGCAATTGTAAGGTGACCGGTGTGCAGAAAATACTTTACCCATTCCGACTCGCCAAACGCGGCCTCTGATTGAGCCAGTTCGTTGTCATGATGTGGGAACTTTAAGTCTACCCCTCCTGTGTGTATGTCAAATATAGATCCAAATATATCCGATGCCATGGCTGAACACTCGATATGCCAGCCAGGCCGACCGTGTCCCCAAGGACTGTCCCACCAAGGCTCTCCGGCCTTGCTTGCTTTCCACAGGGCAAAATCGTTGGGAGAGCGCTTCTCTGAGAGCCGATCCGCAGTGACAGACAAATCACCTTCGCCCTCCTGTAGAGACGTTGTATCGCCATAGGCTTCGGGTACAAGCTTTGCATAGTGATGCTTTTCGCGTTTGTCAAAGCCATTCACATCAAAATAGACGGAACCATTTGCTTCGTAGGCGAGCCCATTGTCGATAATGCGCTGAATAAATGCAACAATCTGAGGCACATATTCCGATACTCGCGTTAATACATCGGGTGGCAAAATCTGAAATTATTTGCAACGAAAATACCCAAGTTTACTTGTTCATGTTTGTCTTTAAATCAAATATGGGCCGCCCACTTTCTACTCAGCTCTAAAGATGTTATATACAAAGATATTTAAAACTGAGTTTGAACCCTATCGGATAGGCATAAAATTTCATGAAACAGTTTTCAGTTTCCCAGACTTGCAAGAAGGATTTTCCAAACACTGGCCTATAGTGAAAACGAATACGAATACCCCATTCTCAAGTGTGCGTTGATTATTCAGTATATACATATATAACTGATATAAATATAAATATATATATATTGCTAGATAACTCACGTTGAGTGATTTCATATCATTGTGAAAGTGATCCTCCCAATATCGCGGCAATGCTTCGAAGACGGTATTGTCATTTACATGGGCACCCTTCTTTCCATCTAGCCACTCTGCAATCGGATCTTTTGCTTCAGCTAAATAATGGCACCTCATCTTGGTAATTTCGTCCACGTTGCCACTGCTAACAGCTTGCGTTAGTGCTTCCAATGCATCGATCATGCGTTGTAACATCTTTTCCAGCATGACTTTCTTATCAGCATCCGTATTTTTATCACACTTGACCTGCAGTTGGCCGAGTACCTCCTTTTGCTCGTTTAACAATTGCTCGAGAGGCAGCTGCGCAGCCCCACTTGCATACTGCTCATACAGATGATACTGACGTGCTCGCTTTATAATTTTATCGTCAATATCGGTGATGTTCATGACGTAGTGGATGTTGTAGCCGAAGTAATTGGCCAATATCCGTCGCAAAATGTCAAAAGAAATGTAAGATCTGCAAAGCATGTGAGGGTATCAAGATTAGATTGTAAATTAACTGTGATTGCTGATGTGGCTATCACCTGGCATGTCCCATGTGCGAAGCATCATAGACAGTTGGGCCGCAGCTATACCACTTAACATTGTTGCCGCTCAATGGCACAAATTCCTCCTTTTGTCTGGTTAGACTATTGTATAATCGCAATTGCGGACGTGTTGAGGTTGTTGGCGCTTGCCACGCCGGTTGTATGCGCTTCGACATGGTGGGTACCTTTTCTGTGCTTGCGAGCTTCCAACACGTTTATTTCTCGATGGAAACTCATAGGCGTCAGCTGTTTGACTCAATCAGGGTTGCTAGCAAAATATCGAAACAGTCGAATACCGATGAATTTAATAGCCCCTAAACATTCACTGTCCGCGTGAAATTTATTTTTAAATATGTTTTGTGCTTTTCAGGAACCGTCCCAGCCACTTGTATTTTTATTGAAATTATAACTTAATTGATAACATACATATGTTCGAAGGGACCCCATAAATATTAAATACAAATGTGAAATTATTAATAGCAAAGATAGTATCGCAAATACAGAAACATGTCATATCAAAATAATTATTAATATCTAAATCCTACATTGTCGAAGTAACTATCTAAATACTAAAGGATCTGATTTAACATTTATTTTAAATATATTCTTTGTTAATGCGAGTCGAATTTCCGAAATGTGTAATTATAGTTTTGGTTTACAGGCAATCATATAGACCGGAAATAGGCCTTTGGGGAAATTTTGTTGTCGTACCTTTCTCACAATACGAAAGCCAGCTTCTTTTAAAAAACGTTCATATAAGTTTAGTGGACGAGTAACTGATGAATCCTCGTCGTCTTTTATGATTTCCTTGGAGGTGCTGACATTTTCTTTAATGCAAAAGTAAGCTCCTAGCTGCAAACTGAGGCGCATGCGACGAAAAAAAGCCACAAGGTCTGGATCCGTTAGGTGTCCTAGAACCCATTGGCTCCAAATAAGGTCATATTTACTTGTGGGTGAGAACTCTTGTAGGCCGAGATTATATATTTCACCCAAGCTATTCCGACGAACTGCCTCTGATGTGCACAACTCGCGAGCCTTCTCAGCAAAAGCGGCATCTTGTTCAACAAGGTCGACAGTTTCAAAAAGTGGTATCAAAAGGTTGCACGATACTCGTCCTATCCCGGCACCGCAGTCCAGGGCCAATTTTTTGCCCGGTACTTTGAGTTCGCGGAGAAATATCTTCGAGCCTTGTATATCAATTGCGTTAATGTATCCAAGGCCGCCCAGCATACCGTTTACTGTTGCTGGGACTTCGGACCAATATTTTTGTGCTTTGTTGTAGAATTCAGGTACAACCTTTTCAATTTCAGATGTGCTGGACTCCTGAGTAGATGGTTCCTTTTCTTGTATGATGCCTTCCAGCATTTGACGCTTATAATTGTTTTTTTCATCTTGCGAGTAGCTCAGACAGTCCTCATCCACAGTCAAAACTTCTGAATCTAACTTATAAGACATTTTTTTTGTATAATACTAATCCTAAAATATTTAATTGAATTCTAAGTGATTGAATTATCCTATTTACTACTTACCGCATACTATGATAACACAAATAAACGTGTACAGGGATGAAACTGATTGATTTAAATGGAACTAGTTTCTAAGTGAACTCAAATCTAGTTCAAATAATTTTTTCATCATATTTTATAAAAACAGAAAATTTGATTGAAATGAGTGAAAAGCAAAAAGTTAGAATTCACTAGACCCTATAAATGGCAGTGACTTCCAGATTTTAGAACTGACTTGGGAGCTAAGCATGTTATGTCGTCTATGTGTACTTAATTTTCGCAATATTTTTTCTGAAAAGTGGAAATAGTTTTTACTCTCCATATCCACCGAAACTATTTACTAGTTCACATAAATAAGAACAAAGTCGTAAAAATAATATCGATATTAAAAGTATACGATAAGTTATCGAGGTACGAAACATTATCAAGTTAATTCTACCAGTATAAAAATACAATAAATTTGTTTGCTCGCAAATAAGTATGACTCTTGACGTTGATGCTCAAAGGAAAGATGAGAAGCTATTACTTTCAACGATACAGCAGGAATACAAAATTTTGGCAGAATAGTAAGAGTTTAAAATACCAAAGCTTTTCATCATCAAATAATAAGAACCTTCGTACAACTATAGCAAAATGATTGAATCGGAGAAGGTCTCGGGCATTTATGTTATTCCAAGCTATGCCAATTCCTTGCGTTAGTATATTATTCCTGTGTATACCAAAGAAAGTGATTAATTTATTTATACTTTTTATTTTGTTTTTTAGAATGGTTTGGAGTATTTTTTGGTCGTCAGGGCTTTTATGAAAACAGTGTATTCCGCTTTTCAATATTGTTGCCGGATGGTTTTCCAGATGACAAAACAGTTCCAGTAAGTCCCCGATATGATATATATATATATATTGGAGTTTGATAATATACATTGTATTATTTTTATATAAGGCAATTATTTTCCAACACAACGTTGTCCATCCACTTGTTTGCCCTTACACAAATAGTCTAGACATTAGCCATGCATTCCAGGAATGGAGATGCGGAGAAGATCACCTTTGGCAGGTATTGAAGTATATACAAGCGATATTTGCCGATCCATTGGACAGCATCCGCAGCGTGGCTAATATACAGGAACTCAGCAACCCAGAAGCCAGCAAGCTGTTAAACACCAACCGAGACGCATATGCAGCACTTGTTCAAGAGAGCATAATGGAGAGCAAATCGCGCATATATGATACACCACCAACAGAAGACCCGCATTATATAGTATTTGAAAAGTTCCAAGCAAATGTACATGGACCAGTTTTAGATCAAATACGCAAAAGCAGAAACATAGTTGTGTCTCCTGAAAGTGGTGTAGGTGGAGCTGCCACTGGACTGTCGTGGGTCAAAGTTAAAGAAGGCGAGTTTAAGCCTTTGAGCATTGAATAGTCGTAACAATATATATGCGTAATGTACATAGTATGTTCTCTTTATAACCGAATCATTAAATTTATTCACAGTTTGACAAGTCCGGAAGTTTTATGCGCTTTCGCATTGAGAATGAATGCCGAACCCTTGACAGTTTTTTATCCATTCATTTTCCAGCTTTAGTTGAGTTCCATTCCAATTAAAATGTGTTGGCGATTTACCATCATCAGCAAATACGAAGTTCTGGCTAAGCTCAATGGCCAATTTGGAACGAACAAGTCCAATGCCACCTACTTTTGACCAAGCTGGATGATATACTCGGCCGCTTTTTGGGTGCATATAAAGTTTTTGTGGTTCAAAGGGCACCGATAAATCTGGACCTCCATGTGCATAGGTCAAAACATCGCTGACTTCACAAGCGTCCTTCTTTAGTTGATCAGTAAACACAATGGGTGTGTCATCACAACGCACATAATTCCGTTCCCGGCCACAAAGCGAGATGTAGGGGAAATCTTGGTACCGTTCTGATTCATTTCGTCGCACGCGACTAAAGAAGAACTTTAGAAAGACCTTCTCTTTGAAACAGGATGTAAAGTTTTTCATTTTGGCATCGTCCAAAAAGAGCTGCAAGTGAAAAAGAAAATGTGAAAGGTATTTGACAGTTACTTCTCTAGTCGGATTTGTCCGACTAGAGAATACCCTGTACCCGACATTGCATGCATACGATATTCTATTTGAGACAAGACCACAAAGTCTCACGTTGTGGGAGATGTATTGATAAATAACAGACGGATGCGGGGAGACCGGGTTATATGCTGTGCCAGAATATATACTAAAATCCCCTTTTGTGTGTTTGCCATCAATGGGTACAAGGTGTGAAAAAGATCGAGATGCGAGTGAAGGTATGACAACTTATTGTATTTACACACCATGCCGTCGTGATCGATGTAATAGAAGTATTCTCGTATCCTTGGCTCGGGCGCCTGTCCCTGTGTGTAGCTCGTGACGGAACGCCGTAAAATCCACCTAAATTCAATATTTTTGAAATTCACTAGCTGTTTCGTCTGGAGCGCAGTCATGTGAGCAATACCTTGACCGAGGGGTAGACTTTAATCAGCTGAGTGTGTATATATTTATACGCATGCTTAACTTGTTATGTATGTGTATTCAGAGAATTAAACTAGAAATTTTTAATTTACATTATAGAGTTAACCTACGCAATTGGGCGCAAATCTATTTTTTCTTTTTGTCACTGCCACCTGATTTCTGCATGCGACCCACTTGCATGTTCTTTAGCTTTTCATTAAGCTTCTTTTTAGCATTCTTAAGCTCCTCCTCATGTCGTATAGTCTTTAATGGCTTGGGATGCAGAAATTCTTTACGGGCCTCTCGTCGTTTCTCCAAGCCGCAACCGTGCACCTCGGGCAGACCGTGCTTGAAGCAGTATCGCTTGTTGCAGTGCTCGCAGTCTTGGCCCATTAGACTTGTTTTGGTTTTGCAGCGTGGGTAATCGCACAGGTTATCCACTGTTTTCACGGCAGTGAGAACTTCATCCAGTTTGAGATCGACTATTTGACTGGGTATACGCTCCAAGAGCTCCAACGTGTTGTTTGTGCCATAATCGGCCGGTTTACCAGCCTTAGTAGCTGGGAATAGCGGCGTACTATCTACATTTGCAGAACTTGACGGATTGCAACTGCTGTCATTAATTGGTTTCGCTTTGTCTGGGTTATACACTTCTTAGTGAAACGTTTTTAAATGATTTTCGATGATATTACCTGCCATTGTAAATAAGCCAAAGCCCTTTGTTGATTGCACAGTCGTTACACGTTATACAACACTGGTGAGCAGACTGTGATTACTACAAACAACGCGTTTGGACATTTTTTAAGACATTTATCGAAATGAACAGGGTGATACAAATTTCAGCGACGTTTAAATCTCAAAGTCAAGCAAAAACCTAATGTCTGGCTAAATGTAGGCAAATATTGGTGAGATGTTTGCTAAACTGAATTCTTATTTCGTAAAATCACTGCTTAAAAAATAAAGCAAAAGATTTTGTAGCAACACAATATCAAGATGGCAGACGAAGGCGCGGTCAAACTTTGTGCACGTTTTACTTGATATCCATATATGTAGCAAGGATTCAAGTCTTAATGCAAAATGTGAAACACATTAAAGGTGACAGCTTAGCCATACAATATTTATTTGTATACCATGAATCCATTGAAAATGGTTAAAAAGGGTAAACTAAACAAATTAAAGTCGACTCATGGCGATTGTGGTGAACATCTTGTGGGCAAATAATTTTAGTCGACACACAACTAATGACTAAAATAATAACTAACTTAGCAAGGGAATCGTGTATCATTATCATTCGGCTGGGAATCAATAGTTGCCATGTAAATACATCACTCGATGGGATTATCTTGAACCGACGAAACGGAAGGATGTTCTTGCATATTAATTTGAATGTGAGTATATATGTTTGTATTTATTGGATTTGTGTTTGTAGTTGGCAACAATTACAATTTTCTATAAATGCTAAGTTGAGCTATTTAATACAATTTGATAATTCTAGAAAATGCCATTCTGTAATGCGTGCATAATTAACTCATCAATATCTTTAATTCGTATATTTTCTTTTCTGGGAGAAATTTTTAATTGCGATCACGTTCTGCTTCAGATTATTGCAATTGTTTGTTTTTTTCGTTCGCCTCGCACGGAAAACAATTATAATTTATTCTCATATGCAGTAGCTGGAGTGGATGTCACAGCTGCATTAATAGCTGTCGCCACATAGTCAATATTGCCTGTGTTTAGGCCGCACATATTAATCCTGCCCGTTTTGAGCAAATAAATATGGTAATCCTTGATCAGGACGCCGACTTGTTTCTCATTGAGACCTGTGTACGAGAACATGCCGATTTGATTGACAATGTGATCCCAGTTTCCAGGAGTTCCCAACGCAACAAGTTTGTCTCGCAGCAGCTTACGCATTTGACGAATCCGGCTGGACATGCTTTTTATAGACTCCATCCACTCCTGACGTAGTTCAGGCGTATTCAATACTTTAGACACAATGCGAGCTCCGTACGCTGGTGGATTTGAGTATAGACCGCGAATGATAAGCGTTAGCTGCGAATGGATCATGTCTCTGGTAGCACCGCTCTGCTGGACTATCGTCAGGTTTCCAGCTCGCTCGCAATACAATCCAAAATTCTTAGCAAACGATTGGCAAACAAAAAGTTCAAATCCGCGGTCTACAAAGTAACGTATCGCCCAGGCATCCAGGTCGGGATCACCGCTAGCAAAGCCCTGGTATGCTGAATCGAAAAGTGGGAAAAGCTTTTTACGTTGCATCAGGTCAGCAATTTGTTTCCACTGGTCCTGGGTTGGATCCATGCCAGTTGGATTGTGTGCGCACGCATGCAAAATAATTACAGACTCCGCCGGCGCCTGGTCCAAGTCAGCCAGCATGCCCTCCAAATCCAGCTGCCGTTTGTTTTGGTCCCAATAACGGTATGAATGCAGTTTGGTAAAGCCGGTATCGGCGAAAATCTTGTGATGATTCTCCCATGTCGGATTTGAATAGTAGACTGTTTGCCGTTTCAGTTGATGGTGTAAAAATTCAGCAGCTACACGCAGCGCACCTGTGCCGGATATGGTTTGCACACCAAAAGCCTGGAAAATAATAAAGTAACAAATTTAAATAAATTTTGTATAAAGGAAACAAGAGATGCCATCAAAAGACAAGGCTTGTTTTATGGAAAACTTACACGCTTCTCTTTTAATGCGATTGATCCCGAACCCAACACCAATTCAGTTGCTGCCCGCGTAAACGGTTCGAGTCCTTAAAATATGCATACAAAATATTAGTTATTATCTTATTGGCTATAAAGCACAACTCACCCGTCACTGGTAAATACTCATGATTAATTAACTCATCTGTCGCGATTCCCACTTCTGTTTTGCGCACAACCGGCAGAACCCACGGCTGACCAGCATCCGTTCTGTAAGCTGCAAATGAGGATCATATTAAAATATATATATCTAGTATTACAATAAATTGGCTTTAAACGTGTTTTTAAGGACCTACATGAGAACTTAATGAATACCTATTTCAGAGATTTTGAAGAGCCCGCAGCAGTGGTAAATTGTCGAAAAAAGGTTGTATGAAAACAATTTAATTAATATCTGATCGGCTTGAAAATCATTTTCAAAGATCTTTGTTCAAATTCATTCGACGGGTGCTTCACACTTTTCTGAAAGTTCTGGATTCAAACTTATTTTCAAAGCTCAAGTCCTAATCGAAATGTGTGTTAGCGATTTTGGAAATTTCACCTGCAACAGGGGAATACTGGTGGAAAAAGGGTGAATGACATTAATTAAATTACTATCCGATTGGCATCAAAATCACATTCAAAATCTTTGGGGTAAGAATGCCAGACAATTTCCATATATTCCTAATGTTTGTTGAAGACTTTTTACATATTAGCACCCATTAGAATTATCGATAGAGATTTCGTCTTATGCAAATGATCTATAAACGACGAAAAGGAAGGTAATGTTTGCAATTAACGACAATTAACGGCAGTGGCATCCGTTAAATTTGTATTTATTTCTTTCCGCCCTAAAGTACTACAAAAATATTATAATGGAGAAGAAAATATATCTGTGCGTTTAATGAGGACAAGTGGCTGATAATCGATAAGATAAGAATTATTGGTTGCTGATCAAAGTTCTCTATTTTTATTAAATGCTTCACATCAAATTATAATTGAAATTCATATGTATTTGGCAATAGTCCATAATCCATTATACAAAACTTATATCATCTCGATTCATATACTGTACTATTCACAATTCGTTATTATTATCATTAGATTATACATATACGTGCACATACATATATTTGTTTTCGTATATTAAGTAACTGCATATGTGTATGTATGCACATGTGAAAGTATTAGGTGCACACAGAAAGTATAATATATGTATGTATGTATTTGTTATGCATATATAAATCCATAGATATGAATTGTCAATGGGCCGTTGTAAAGAGCAATACGCTTCATCTCACAGTTTGACATACAAATGCCCTCTATTTTTACCCAAAGCCAACTTGGTTTATAAGCTCACATCTATATACGTATGTACGTTTACACATATTCATTTACATTTGTTGCAGAACACGAAATTTAATGTGCGAAATTTAATATGATTGCAGAATGTTTACAAAAATCATACACATGTATCCAGTTAAACATTATCATATGCATAGTTCTACATACATATGTATTTATAAATTAAAAAACCTTAGGCAAGGTCAAAGAAATTATTGTAGAATAACGAAATTATATAAATATGAGATAATAAAGTAAATATTAAAAATGATTTTAATGATTTACAAATACTTTTTCATACATACCACCCACGGACAAGTTGACCTTTTTGGTGGATGCGTCATCTTGAAAAGCTCTTGTTAAGGCAAAGACTTCAATTGCCGGTCCTTTCGGCACATTGGCAAAAATTGACGCAGACATCATACGTTGCAATTCCAATCAAAACGATTATAATAAATAAACCTTCTACGTCGGCCAGATTGGGCTGCGAACGAACTTATATCGATACACTCGATAATATTCATTGTTTTTTTTTAATATCGATAAATTTCATTATGGCCGACGAAAACAGAATGCCTCAAATAGTAATGGTATTCCTGAAGCTAATTTGGATGGCGGGAAATCAAACCAAAATCAGTGAACGATACAACCCTTTTTGGGCAATTATTTGATTTACATTTTGCAAGCAATTCACAGACTGTTTGAACAGCTGATTAGCGCACAAGTTAAAAAGGCGGGAAAGCCAAAAACGCCGAAGGAAATGTTAAAACTATTTTTCTAAACCTTTTACTAATAGTTTTTTGCATAAGTAGTTTTTGATATGTTTGTTTTAGCTGAAATTTGAATATCTTTAGCTTCTTTTCCATCTGCATCTTCTTAAACAGGTTTTATGTTACAGCTCCATTCCCTTAACCTATTTTTTGCTGCCAGTTTTGCACAGTTTTTCCGTTGCAAATCAGCCATGTTGGTTTATTGTCTGTTAAAACGTGAAGTGAACGAAACTTATGACGTACTCCATATGGTAATCACAACAGAATGCATACAAACTCAACTGTGCCGGGTCATTTTCTTCGTAGAGAACGGTCACACAGGCAAGCAAACCGACATCAGCATCAGAGCTGATTCGTTAAATCTCTAAGTACTAACTAATTTCAATTAATTGATATATGAAGATACTAGCGGCATATAAAGAAAACGGAAAACAATTATAATTTATTCTTATATGCAGTAGCTGGAAAGAATGTCACAGCTGCATTAATAGCTGTCGCCACATAGTCAATATTGCCTGTGTTAAGGCCGCACATATTAATCCTGCCCGTTTTGAGCAAATAAATATGGTAATCCTTGAGCAGGACGCCGACTTGTTTCTCATTGAGACCTGTGTACGAGAACATGCCGATTTGATTGACAATGTGATCCCAGTTTCCAGGAGTTCCCAACGCAACAAGTTTGTCTCGCAGCAGCTTACGCATTTGACGAATCCGGCTGGACATACTTTTGATGGACTCCATCCACTCCTGACGTAGTTCAGGCGTATTCAATACTTTAGACACAATCCGAGCTCCATACGCTGGTGGATTTGAGTATCGTATATATATGATTAGCGCCAGCTGCGAATGGATCATGTCTCTGGTAGAGCCGCTCTGCTGGACTATCGTCAGGTTTCCAGCTCGCTCGCAATACAATCCAAAATTCTTAGCAAACGATTGGCAAACAAAAAGTTCAAATCCGCGGTCTACAAAGTAACGTATCGCCCAGGCATCGAGATCGGGATCACCGCTAGCAAAGCCCTGGT